AAACCTCTAAAAAATAATAATAATAATAAAAAATAAAAAATCTTTGGTGTCCAGTGTCCACTGATGAAGCAAAACAGAGCCCAATGAAGCAAAACAGAGTCAGGTTAAGACATAGGTCCCTATAAGTCAGGGAGAGGTGCCACCTTCCTCAGTCTTGCCACATACAGGCTGTAACATTCACCTCCAAGGCAGCGACAAATGACCTGGACTCTGAGGTCCTGTCCTCATAAGCTGGGACAGAAGATGCTCAGAGTTGCCCAATGGGAACAGAGCTCCTCTCCACCACCCAGGGCCCTGGGGAGTCAAAAACTCATCCGGGATGCAGTATCTTGGTCCCCAGACTTAACTACCCAGACCCAGCTCCAGGAGAGGTGCAAACTGTAACTCAACTGAATCTCCAGTACAGGGAATAAAGCAAGGAGTATTGTGCCCATGTCCCAGGTCCCCTGGGAAAGCATGTGAGACACCACACTCAGGGCCACCCCAAACCCATCCTTTCTTTTCTTTTCTTTTTTTCTTTCTTTTTTTTTTTTTTTGGAGAGGTTTTCGCTATAGGGAGTGTGCGCTCGCCAGACAGACAGAGAGACATAGAGACAGAAAGCGAGAAATCACCCCCCAGGGGGGAATGGTCACGCCGCAATCCCTTTTCCTCCATTCTCCTCTCGGGATCTTGGGCACGCACGCACACACGCCCGGCGTGAGTTTTAAGCCACCCGGTCCCGGACGCGAACCGCGGTCGACTACATGGGAGTCCAGCGACATAGCCATTATGCTAACTGCTGGTTCCCAAACCCATCCTTTCTTAAGGAAGTGACCTAAGAAAGGGAACTGATTGCTTGAGCCTTCCTTCCAAGCAGGGGAGCAGGGCTGCTTCCTATCTCTCCTGCCCCAAGGCGCCCAGCCTACAGTCAGCAGGAGAGGTGTAATTCCTGGTACATGGAGGGTAATTGTGTCTACATGGCCTCTGCTTTAGAATCAGACTTGAAATACAGCGATTTCCTGTGCCAAGAGGATGCCATTGTTGCGGCCTTCCGCCCTGGCCCTCAAACAGCAGGGACTCTGGGGCCCCTTACTGAACCTGCTTTATCCACAGCTCCATCTTGAATTTTAGTTTCTCCTTTAAAATCTGGGAATTAGTTTCTCCTGGAGTTCTGGAGGGAGAGCTGTAAGGGGGCCAGCAGTGGCAATGAGAGTGGGGACAAGGAGGAAAGCCCTCAAGTCCACAGCTGCCTCCCTCCTTAGCTCCAAAAGGATGTGGCCTCCCAGGGCGGCTGAGATCACTGGCACATGCCCCTTCTGGAGAGTACTGAGGGCCAACCAACTTGCCTTGATAGGTACGTGGGGCTAGAAAGATGGATCGTCCACTCTGGCCTCCTTCCTCCAGGACAGTGGAAGCAGCACTGTGAAGTGGCAAATTTAGCTGGGTCTGAGTTTTGGACATGATTCAAGCCGTGGCTGAGGATTTAAACTGAAAGGGGCTGCCGGTGCACGAGGTGAGCACACTCCCCAGCCCGTTCACTCCCTTTCTTCATTCCCTTGTGACCTTCTGCACTGACCAGAGACTTTTTAAAATACTATTTCACAGGGGCCAGAGCATGGCAGTGGTTAAGGCTGCTGGATCCCACACGGCCCACTATACAGTTTGAGTTCGAGATCCAGCAACTTGAAAACATGAAGGGTGTGTGTGTGTGTGTGTGTGTGTGTGCCCAAAATCCGAGAGGAGAATGGAGAAGAAAGGATCACAGCATGGTCATTTCCCCTGGGGAGGTTGCTTTGCTTTTTCTCTCTGTGCATCTTGCTCCAGCCAGCATGCACACACCCCATAGCAAAAAAGAAAAAAAAAAAAAAACCTAGAAAAGAAAAATGCTGGGACCAGCAGATGGCATAATGGTTAGGTCACTGGACTCCCATGTAGCCGACCACAGTTAGAATTTCAGACCTAGCGGCTTAAAACTCGCACTGGTGCGTGCGCGTGCATGCCCAAAATCTCGAGAGGAGAATGGAGGAGAAGGGATTATGGCATGGCCATCCCCCCCCTGGAGGATCTCACTTTTTGTCTCTCCCTGTCTCTCCAGCAAGCACACACACAGTATAACAAAAATCTCTCTAAAAACGAAAGAAAAAGAAAAAAAATGCTGTCCCACCGTCCCTGCCTTCCCTAGAACTGCATCCTGCCAGTTCCTAGTCCCATCCTCAAGCCCCAGAATGGCTCCAAGCCCAAAAACCACATCCTCCAGAGAGCCCCAGGGTTACTTGTACATCTACTTGTCTGTAAAATGGGAATAAAAATAGAATCTCCCTCCTAACTTTGTGAGAAGTTAATGAATGTGGAGCACTTGCAATGCCTGGCCCAACCTAAGTGCTCAACATGTGTTATAAATAACAATAATGACTTTCATTGGGGCAGAGGTATGTGCCACGGTTAACCTGCACAAACCCAACTCGTCCAACGACCCGGTCAGGGAGGCAGTTCTACCCTGTGTTGTCACTGATGAAGAAACTGAGACTTAGGGAAGGACTCTAACTTGCCCAGG